ATGAAAGACCTCTGTCTCTCTCTGTCTCTCTTTAACTTTGCCTTTCAAACTAAAAAATATTTTGTAAAAAAATTTTTTTTAAAAATTTAAACTAACATTATTCAAGTGAGTGTGTGTGAAATACCAACTACTTTATATTTAGTTTTTTATGAAATCTTTACACAGACCTATGAATTAAATGAATTAAGGACTACCATTTCCATCCTACCAATAAGGAACTACAAACAGACTGGATACATTCACCAAGGTCACACAATAATTATTAACAGGAAGAGATACACACAGGAATCAATTTATCATTAAAAAGCTGAGCTTCTCTCACTGTAGAATTTTCCCCTCATTTAATATTAATTGAACAAATTTGAACTTTAGAAGGGTCCAATCTGGGTTGAAAATAAAAAAAAAATGATATTGGAATACAGTCTTCCAAAATGAGTGCATTTCATATGTAACTCTCATTTAGATGCATACATTCTACTGTGCTTTCTAAAAATGGCAGCCATAATTTACCCCTACAAGAAGCTTGAGGCAAGCTTCCAACGATACTGTGCTATTGCACAAGACACAGTGCTTTGAACTTCATACTTGAAGGACTGGGATGAACTAAAGAACCCTGTTCTATAGATGGAATCAGAACCAATTCCAGCTTAAGAGATAAAAAGCACAGGCAAGTGCTCACAGATTGTGTTCCAATCTCCAGATTAGCTGGGTGTTATGCGGGTTAAGAAGGAATTCTTCCAATTTGCATATGGCTTTTCTGCACCAAATAAACACTTGCTGCTCCATGGTTAGCAGACATCAGAGCAGAAAAAAATGTCTCTGTCATATATAAGCTCTGGTCTGTCAAACTGGCAAGCAGGCAGGGAATTAATAAATGCTGGCTGCATAGATAATGCTACCAGCATGTCCTGAGTGCAGATCCTATTTTAATGTCTATTTAGACTGTGACAGCTAGAGTTTAAAAACAATCCTACAATCCTTTCCACAGAAACTTGAACATATTTCTGTATTTTAAAAGGTAACTCCTTCCTAAATCTGCCAGGAATCTCCTTTCAGGAAAATAAATTCTTGAATTCTGAATTCCACCAAAAAATAGCAGTTTTTATTTTGCAATCAAATGTAATGATACATCTTGGCAAAGTGTAGTAGGGGAAACAAGGACCAGAAAACAAATTAGAACAAGAACAGAAATGGCAGTTTCTATTAAAAGTTTCAAGCTGTTGGAATTCCTAAATCTGTCTGACAGTCCATGCTGCTGTGGCTGGGCCAAGTTAGACAGAGACTTAGAAACAGGAGGATAATTCACACTCTGTGAAACTGAGGAAGGCCCGGCTCACTTTCAAAGGAATTCAGTAATTTTCCAAAAACAGATAATCTTGTCCAAATGATGACTTTCTTCAAAATGCTTTTTTAATCTGCACACACACTTCAAACATTAGAGTTATCAGAGACAAAGTGCTCAATAGCCATTAATGGAATGAATGCTTAAAAACATTGTAGGCTGGCATTTAGGAGCAACAGGCTAAACAGAGCATTCTATGGCACAGTGCTGGCTGAAGGCCCCATTGCTCCACTTTCAATCCAGCTTCCTGCAAATGTACCTGGGAGAGCAGCAGATGATGGCCCAAGTGCTTGGGTCTATGCCACTCATGTGGGAGACACAGATGGAGGTCCTGGCTCCTGGCTTCAAGAATGAATGCTTTTGGACATTTGAGAAGCAAACCACCACATAGAAGATCTTCCTCTCTCTCTCTCTCTCTCTCACTCTCGCTCTCTCTGCATTTCAAATAAGTAAATCTTTAGAAAAGTGAAGACATCAAAAAGGTGGATACAAAAAATGAGCTGGGACAAGAGACTATCTTAATAAGTATGTTTTTAAAAGTATGTTACTTTTTGGCCGGTGCCGCGGCTCACTAGGCTAATCCTCCGCCTGCAGCGCTGGCACCTGGGTTCTAGTCCCGGTTAGGGTGCCAGATTCTGTCCCGGTTGCTCCTCTTCCAGTCCAGCTCTCTGCTGTGGCCCGGGAGGGCAGTGGAGGATGTCCCAGGTCCTTGGGCCCTGTACCCCCATGGGAGACCAGGAGGAAGCACCTGGCTCCTGCCTTCGGATCAGCGCAGCGCACCGGCCGCAACGTACTGGCCTTAGCGGCCACTTGGGGGGTAAACCAACGGAAAAAGGAAGACCTTTCTCTCTGTCTCTCTCTCTCACTGTCTAACTCTGCCTGTCCAAAAAAAAAAAAAAAAAAAAAAAAGTACGTTACTTTTTGAAATAAAATAATAATTGAAAAATGACTCACTGACAGTGGGTTAAATGGGATTTGACATAAATGAGGGGACAGTGAATTTGAAGACTAAATAAACTAAATTTCCCAGAATGCCAGATTTTTGTGACGCAGTCAAAAATGTTTTATTGAAAAGAGAGTAAGCAGGGCTGGCACTGGGGTGCAGCAGGTTAAGTCCCTTCTTGCAAGGCAGGCATCCCAAGTCAGAGGCTCATTCAATTCCCAGCTTTTATGCTTCTGAGATAGCTCCCTGATAATGTGCCTGGGAAGGGAACAGAGGTGGCATAAGTATCTGGGCTCCTGCCACCCATATAGGAGACCAGGATAGAGTTGCTGGGTCCTGGCTTCATCCTGGCCCAGCCCCAGCTGTTGCAACCTTCTGGGGAAGGAACCAGAAGGTAGAAGATACCTCTCTCTATCATTGTCTTTCAAACAAATAACTAAATGTTAACAAGGGGGTAAGTGATTAAGGATAGAGTTAGAAAGTCTAAGTTTTGCCTAATTCATATTTAAAAGAAATGGATAGAGAAAGGGAGGAAGAAGCAATATGTTAAGAATTTCTGAGAATAAATGGATACATATGAATAATGTATATGAACTAGATACATATATACATATATATATTTTGGAACTAATGAATAGATTTAGTAAGCATGAGGATATCAAGTAGATTCTTTTGAAAGCCTTATGTACTAGAAAACTATTACAAGGCACATGAGAGTAAACTGTGAAACACCAAAAGAAAGAGAGAGAGAGAGAATGAGATTTCAAAAGTAGCTTGTTAGTGGAAGGGGTGAGGCTCAGCAAGGCACTTCTGAAACCAGGGCATTCTAACAGCAGACATTTTAATGGCAACCACTGAAGCCAGAAGACAAGGATCCAGTAAAGCACTAAGGGAGGATTTCAAACTGGCTGTTCAGAGTCCTGACTGATAGTGTTTCAGATTTCCAAGGCCTAAGCCCTCTCAAAATGGACAATCTCAAGTAGTAATTACAATGTTTCTAATGACGGAGCTGGGGAGAGAGGTCTGCATGCAATTGGTTCTTAGGAGTCAGTGCCATCAAGCACTGCATAATGTTGAGAACAGCATCTGAGAGAACATAGCCTTCAATACTGAATTGCATGTCTAGCAAAATGTCCTCCAAGAATCAAGGTGAAATAGGGAACATTTTTTGCAAATAAAGTGTTTATGAATAAGGAATTTTATACAGAAAGAAAAAATCACGGTCACCAAAGAAGTTTACCAAATCTGATAGGAAGGAGAGAGGTCAGAAACATAAGAAGGAAAGGGAAATGAATAAACTTGTGCATGTATTAATAAAAGTGAGAAGTATTTATGGAAATTATTATTATTAACAGGAGGGGGGATGGAATAACAAACTTCAATCCAGACATCAGTGATTATTGATGGGTTCATTCAACTATCATTTGGGAAGCTGAAGTTAATAATTTTCTAGACTACACTGCAGCTAGGTTTCTGGATTCATATAATGTCCTGAGAGTTATACACCCTTCACAAATCAGGAAGACTAGTGACACAAGAGTCAGTTTCCTGACTTTCCAACTTTTCTGCTGTTGAACAACATCATGGCAGCATGAACCATTTCTGCAGCCATTTGTCCAAGACCTTCTCAGACCTCTTGGGAGAACTGGGGGGCTGCGGCTTCTGGACTCTGGTCTAGCATCAGTGGGTGATAACTTGTTCAGAATGTCTTTAGAGGCTTCCCAAAGAGCCCTAACAAGCACCCACATCATAAGTATTGCAGCAATTTTGTAAGCAACTGATTTCTTTTTTGAGTTTTTCTCTGCTTAAAATGCCTGGATATAATGTTTTCTGGACTGTACTGTGACTGCATAAGAAAGAACTTAATAAAATCCCAGGAAAAATTGGAGTAATAGAAAACAAGGAGCCAAAAGCAATCCCAACTGTACAGGTAAACCCCAAATGTAAAAGGACTTTTATCTCCCAATTTGTGAACAGAGATGGCCAAATTGGGTATAACAATCAAAATCCAGCTGTATATTCTTTGCACAGTCATACATAAGGCTTTAAGAAAATGAAAGATTCAAAGGAAAACAATGTGGAATGAGAGATTAGGCAAATTCTAGGCAAAGCAAAATAGCAGTAGCTACATTAATTAAATAAAACATTTAAGCACGAAAAGACATCATGGAAGTTGAAAAAGATGACTTAAGTGTGATAAAAGTATTTCATTTGTTAAGAAGATACAATAACTTCATTCCTGAATGCACCTAAAACTGATGTCATGGTAAAAAATCACAGTGTTTTCAGTCAAAAATGTCCACCATTATAATGGGAAAGTTTAATATTGCTTCAGTGATCATGGATTTGAACAATTTGATAATTATCTAGATCTTTGGTTTCTTTAATTTATTTAAGTAAAAATTAAGTAAATTTAAGTAAAATTAAGCAAAAATTTTAGTTTTAAATAACATATTTTAAAGTTAAGTAAAACACTAATTATTTTATTTAATTACTTTATGAATGCAGCTCTTTCAAGCTCTATAAAATGGATATAAATTCAAGTCCCCATCATTCCCACACACACATCTCAGCATTTCCTATACTTGACATCTTAGTTGCAGATCTGGCTTGGAGCTTAAAACTCTGCATTTGAATTATGCCATTGATACTTATTTTATTTATCTGTTTATGTTAACAAAGATCACTGAGAAGGTATGAACTGGAGCAGCAGACCTGTGACTTTGCCCAGGGTCAAGGACCTTGCAGTCCTGAGCTCGGCTTCTGGGGAGAAGTTATAGCTGACCCGAAGTTGCTGGTCCACCTGCAGGGAAACAGAGAACAAAGGACGTCAGTGGAGGCCTACAGGGGAAGGGCTTTGAAACACTCCCATGCAGAAATAGTTTGAAAAACAGGCACGCACACGGGGCACACAGAGCAGACCCCTGTCTGGGATTTTCTCTCAGGAGAGATTAGCAATGTCTCACTAATTCTCACACAATACACACAAAATACCCCTTTCTTTCTTCTTTGTGAAATTGGGGCTTTCACAGGAGTCTTCGCCCTGGGAAATTCTGAGCAGCCTTTGACAGGTATTTATCTCCCCACTGAGATTTTTTCACCAAATTCTTTGCTGCAAACAAGCAAACAAATGAAACCTGCTCGGGAACTAGCTGTGCAGGATTAACATTAAATGGGAAGCAGGCACTCATTTCCTGTTTCTTTTCGTCCTCAGGAGCACCACTGCTCTCCTGTTCTCCAGGGTCTGAAGTGCTCTCCTTCAGGTGTGGGCTGAGGGACTGCACCAGGCATGGATGGCAGCTGCCGAAACGTTTGGTAGAGGAGGACAAGTTAGTTGCACAGTCAGCTGAGAACCCCAACTTGCAGGATAAGCAAAAGCCACCACTGGGCTTTGCCAGGAGTGCTTTTCTAGGAGCAGCCTTCAGGCATCCCCCTCTCCCTCGCTCACTAATTCATTCCATCTCTTTGTTCTAGTTATCTGGGCAGCAGGCTCCATCCAGGCCACTTTATTCAGTCTACTCAATTCCTGCCAGTTTCTTTCAGGCTCTACACTAGGTATCCACGTGATGTTATTCCTGAAAAGTGTTCTCATTATTGTACATGGAGGGGGTGGGCAAGGGTCTTAAAAAATTCAAGGAAACTGCATTATGAAGAGAATCAGACATGGATTTTGAGCACTAAATTTGAATAGACATATTATTTCACTCCATTTTCCAACAAAATTTATGAAATACCCTAATAGCCACCCTGGAAGAGGGAGACTCCGTGCTTGACTTTGCACTCCTCCTTGGGGAGCAGCAAGTCTAGGACTAATACCCAGTGCTCCATCCCCACCTTCCCTCTGCACCCATCTGTCCTGAGTAACCTCCATTCAGAAATCTGGTCCTGTAGAAAGAGCCAATGGCTATGACCTGTGGTGCCTGATTATATGCTTGTTAGCTTATAATAATGCTTACTAGGTACTGAACACTTGATGTGTAGAAGGCAAATGTTAAGGCATCTTTCCAAACATACTCTTCCCTAGAATACTATGAAATGAACATTTTGTTTTATTTGACAGAGTTAGACAGTGAGAGAGAGAGACAGAGAGAAAGGTCTTCCTTCCGTTGGTTCACCCCCTAAATGGCCGCTACAGCCAGCATGCTGCGTTGATCCGAAGCCAGGAGCCAGGTGCTTCCTCCTGGTCTCCCATGCGGGTGCAGGGGCCCAAGCACTTGGGCCATCCTCCACTGCCCTCCCGGGCCACAGCAGAGAGCTGGACTGGAAGAGGAGCAACCGGGACTAGAACTCGGCACCCATATGGGATGCCAGCGCCACAGGTAGAGGATTAACCAAATGAGCTACGGTGCCCGCCCCAGAAATGAACATTTTTTAATAGATTATTTACTTGAAAGGCAGAGTTACGGGGGAGAGAGGCAGACAGAGAGAGAGAGAGAGAGAGAGAGAGATCTTCCATATGCTGGTTCACTCCCCAAATGGCCAAAAGAGCCAGGACTGGGCCAGGCCAAAACCAAGGAGTCAGGAGCTTCTTCTGGGTCTCTGACTTGGGTGCAGGGCCCAAGCTCTTGGGCCACCTTCTATTGCTTTCCCTGGTGCATCAGCAAGGAGCTGGATTAGAAATAGACTAGCTGGGACTCAAACCAGAGCCCATATGGGATGCTGGCCACATGAGTATTTTTTTAACTAGGAAATGAGTGTTATTACCAAAAGAGTGAAAGAGAGAGAGAGAGAGAGAGAGAGAGAGAGAGAGAGAGAGAAACTAGCTAGTCACATGGACTTGTCTTGTTCCCTACCCATCGCATGATGTCATGTCTGCTTTACTTATCTGTGTCTTTATAGATATTTGAGCAATTTGTAGAAAAACACTATCTTATTTTTTTATTTCTGAGTTTCTACAATGCTCATTCAACACATGTTTGAGTACCTACCATGTGCCATCTACTGTTATAAGTGCTCCCAGAGTCTACCACCTCTTGAAAGATTTTTGATGTTCTGGATTGTTTAGTTGATACTTTCTCTCTCTCTCTCTCTCTCTCTCTCTCTCTCTCTCTCTCTCTCTTTTCTGCTTCTAACCTTGCATTTCAGATACTGCATTATATTGATCTGCCTGCTCTCTCTCTCTCTCTCTTGCATTTTCTCCATTAAACTATTGGCTCCTTGGGAACACAGATCACATCATATCCATATAAGTGTTTTGTAGAGCCTACCATGGAAACTGGCAAGTTCAGTAAGTGAGTAAAATGAACAATTTAATGACTGCAATGCTTCCCTTCTATTTGGTGGCTATGAAGACTGAGTCCATCAGAGCTTCAGGATATCTCTGGTGGCTTTTCCACCTTTAGCTAACACATGAGGTCTTGGTATTTTTTATCCCAGTCCATAACCTGTTTAATGATCATGGGTACAGGTTCAGTCCTTGACAGGAGGGAGTTTTCTTCCTGAATCACAGCCATGCTCCCACATGGCTCTTCCTGTCTGACTTTGGAAGTGCCCTCCCGACATTGGGCAGGATGCCTCTCCCCTTCGTTTGTTGTCCAGAGACAGCAGAGGGGTGCTAAAATGGATGAGGATTTCCTGCCAGGTGGATAGAAATCTTAACCATGGATCCCATAGACCTAGAGATTGAGATTCCCTTGGCTTCAGCCACTACTGTCGTCCCTAGGATGCCAGGTTCCATCTACAGGTGACTCCTTGAACATCACTCCTGTACTCAAAGGCCACATGTGGAAGAGCCAAGTGTACACATCCTTGAGTCACCCCTGCTATGCTGTCTTGCTTTGTTGCGACTTGCTGCTCCCTTAACAAATGACTCACGAAGGAGAGGAGGAGGTATGAGACATTCTGCTAAATAGGTTTTTAGCAAAATGAGTGTAGGAGTTAGGATAGGAAGGTGGAATGACTCAAAGGAAATTGGAGGCTATCATGGACTGGAGATGGATGGGAGATGGCTCCAGCCCTGCCAGAGCAGGAGAGTGGTAGACCCTTGGAACACTTCCAACAGTACATGACACACAATAGATAATGAAATGTGTGTTTAATAAGCATTCTATAAACTCAGGGGCTGAGTTACCTATTTGAAAATCTAAGAAGGGGACGGCGCCGTGGCTCACTTGGTTAATCCTCCACTTGCGGTGCCAGCATCCCATATGGACACCAAGTTCTAGTCCCGGTTGCTCCTCTTCCAGTCCAGCTCTCTGCTGTGGCCCGGGAAGGCAATAGAGGATGGCCCAAGTGCTTGGGCCCTGAACCCACATGGGAGACCAGGAGGAAGCACCTGGCTCCTGGCTTTGGGTCGGTGCAGCATGCTGGCTGTAGCAGCCATTTGGGGGGTGAACCAATGGAAGGAAGACCTTTCTCTCTCTCTCTCTCTCTCTCACTGTCTAACTCTGCCTGTCAAAATATAAAAAATAAATAAAAAAAGAAAAGAAAAAAATAAAATCTAAGCAAATGTATAGTGCAAAAACAAACAAAAAAGGGGAAGGTACCACAAATATTTATTAAGGCTTTAATCTTTGGTATGGTCTAAGCAAATATTGATGTAGTTAGCAGGAAAAGCATTATGTCTGTTAGACTTACTTATGCCTATTTTATTATTTAGTATTTATTTTTAATTACATATTTTGATCTGCTTAGGGATAAAGCACTACAACCCTAAAAACTTTAAGGATATCTAAAGTTTGCATCCTGATCTAGAGAAGCTTTGTTGTTCTCAGAACCCAACCTGCCCATTGACTCTGTCCAATCTTAAATGGGATGGGGAAAGGGAGGAAAATGAAAGAAGCTCTTTTGGGGAAAGCCCTAGATGCCAGACTTAGTGATTCATCCTTTAGCTATGTGCCTTCATATAGTTGTTATAGGAAATACTGAGCTTAGTTTTACTTGCCCTCTTAGTTGTTTTTTTTTTTTTTTTTCCCCTTGCAATGACCATGGCCAAAATGGGGTTAAAGCAGGGAAACAAGAATGCAATCCAGGTCTCTCATGTGTGTGACAGGAACCCGATCACTTCAGCCATGACTGCTGCCACACAGAGCCTGACTCATGAGAAGCTGGAATCAGAAGTTGGAGCAGGGCAATGAACCAGACACTCCAATGTGGGACATGGGCATCTGAACCCCTAGGCTAAATTCCTGTGGATAATTCAACCTTTTAGATAGATAGATGGAAGATAGATAGATAGATAGATAGAGTTGCAGACATAGAAAAATAAGTAGACTGAAGCTCATAATGTTAACTTGTCTGGGATCACACAGCAAAAGTGATGGGGCATAAATTCACACTTGATTATGTCTCTCTAACGATGCCTCTTTTAGTCTCAGGATCTTCATCTCTCAAAGAAAAAAAATTCTGGTTCCTCCTCCTTTACAACTTAGTGTTTGTGCTGGCATTTGGTTAGACTAGGTTAATATATTTAACTCATCAGGGTACATTTAGGACACTAAAGTTCACCTTCACCACTATGACATTTTGGGGACACCTGAGCTTTAAAAGATAACCTTTAAAAAGTCCAATTCCCAAATAATTGACAAGAATTCTTGCTCCTGACTGCAGGTCCAGATTTCAAGGTCTCCTTCCTGTGTTCAAAAGCAGCAGAGTGGAGGAGATACAGACACTCACGTCCAGGGACTATGAGGGAATAGATTCATAGCAGGTGTACTCTTAGTTGTTTTTTTTTTTTTTCCCTTGCAATGACCATGGCCAAAGGTACTTGTCTGTCCTCCCTAATGGTTTTGACCAGTACCTGAGATCCTGCTCCAGAGGTCCTAGGGTGGGCCTGGGGATAGCAGCTGACTACCCTTTTTCTTATCATTAAACATTTTATTTTAGGAGGAAGAAAAAGAAGAGATTGTTTGAGGGTTTGAGGAGTGTCAGGGAGATGAGTGTGTTTCGTTACTGAGTCAGTAAACTAATTTTAAGTTAAAAAACAAATAGATTCTTCCTCTTTTTTTTTCTGCACCCTTCAGCATTTTGGAGATATTATGGTCTCAATTAACATGTATTTATTATTTCTTGAAAACTGATTTGTGCAAATCAGTGAGAAAAAAATACCTCTTATTGCCCTCTACTGTCCTATTTGTATCTTTTATTCATAGAAGAAAAAACAGGAAATATCTAGAAAGAGGAAAAAGGAGTTGTAGGTACAAATGCTCATCAAACACTCCCTGCTGTCCAATCAGAGCCTCAGCCAAACTAGTCAAAGTAGAAGTCATTGTTCCCATTCCTTCCTTCCCTCAGTTCAAGCTTGCACAGAAGACTTTTCCACCACTTATTTCAGGGGTAAACTCTAGAGGTAAACACATTAAATTCTGCTCACTCATGAATTGTTATTTGCAGCTTATATTTGATAATCAATCTTTAACTTCTACTCATCTGAGATAATTAAGAGCCAGTCTTGACTATTCTGATATCCTAGATCCCAAAGGTTACTCAATGCTATTGGTGCCACTCCTGTGACATCTTACCAAATCTCTTCCTCCATGATTTTCTGACTGCTCTCTTTGGCAACCATTAGATTCTCCTTTGGCTAGTCTACACCTCAGGTCTCCTTCCTGCCAAATACATCTTTCTTTGCATTGACCACCAAAAACCCCTGAATATGGAAATCTAACCACATTATTCCCCTGCCTGAAACCCAAAGACTTCCCTTCCCCTCTTCAAAGGGATATCATAAGCCCTGTGGAAATCATCCACTTCCTTCACAAGTGGTTATTGAATTCCTGTCATATAGGAGTAGGTATTTTAGAGCAATAAAATAGAAATCTTTGTATAAAACCTACATTTTGGAAGAGGCAAGCATGATAGAAAATTTGATAAATCTTGTTTGTTAGTGCTAAATACTAACAGAAAAAAAAATAAAGCAGATAAGGGTAATTGGAAATGCAGTTGAATTCAAGGAAATACATTGCTGCATTAAATGAGGGCATCAGAGATGACCCATGAAGGACGACTTTGTAAGCCCAGCAGGAACTAGATCTACAGACAACTGATGAATACCCTTCCAGTCAAAACTAACATGGAGAATAAGGCCTCTGGAAATTGTAGTGTGGTCAGGGTCATGCAAAGTGGAGTCATAGAGGGATTGGTGTTAGACAAGGTAAGAGAAGAAACCATGAGAAGGGAGCAGAGATGCAATCTTCAAGATCCTCGTAAACTACTTTGAGTTTGTTGGCTTTTATTCTGTATGTTAAGAAAAACTGCTTATGGTGTTTGATATTATATTATGATGTGACTCCACTTTTAACAGGATCCTCTGTCTACTTTGCTGAGAATAGGCTGCAGGGGAAGAGGAGAAAGCTTGGATTCAGAAGCAACTCTAACCAGTAACATTGCAAGAGAGGGATGGAAGTGACAAAGTAGAAGCTCTTGACCAATGGGATGTTGTATGTAAGAGAGAGAGAGAGAGAGAGAGAGAGAGAGAGAGAGATATCAATGAAAACATAATGGTTTTGATCCAGAGAAACTGAGAGAGTAGTTTTTATTAACTGAGATATGAAACGTTATGGTAGATAGAAGAGTGTTTTTGGGGAAATTATAAATAATTCCATTTTAAATATTTTACATTTAGGATGTCTAACAGATTTTCAAATAAAATGCCCAATAGGCAATTGGATATGTAGATCAGGAATTTAGGGAGAAGATTGGAGTTGGATGTACATTGGGATTGACTAATCAGCATTGTATATGACAATTATGCATTAAATATATATAATATATAATATATATGTTTTATATATATTAATATATATACAAATGGACTTAAACATAGTGTTTACAAATGTGATACTGAATGAGATAAGCCAAGGAATGTGTGCAGAGACAAAGCACAGTTGTCTAAAGTTAGAGTCCTCATGTGCTAAAATGGGTAGAGTTTGGAGAGAAGAGGAGCACCATCAAAAGAGAAAAGAATGAGCAACTAACAGTAACAGAAGGAACAGCAGGTGACAGTGGTGTCCCACAGACAAATGAGAACTAAGTCCAGTGTGCAGAGCAGAGAGCACTCAGTGACCACCAAGAGGACAGGAATGATGAGATTGTGCCATAACCACTGGAGTTTGCAAAAGAAGGGCATGGATGCTTTGAGAATTATTATTCCATTGTGGCACAGGGACAAAACCTTGATTCATGTGGGTTACAGAAAAAGGAAAGGAGACTTTAGAGATGAAATATATCAAATATTTCCAAGGATTTGGGAACTACATTTTGAAAAAAAATCAAACATCATATTAAGTTAGGTAAGATAATTTTGCGGGGCCATCGCTATGGTGTAGCGGGTAAAGCCACCACTGCCTGCAGTGCCGGCATCTCATATGGGTGCCAGTCGGAATTGTGGCTGCTCCACTTCTGATCCAGCCCTCTGCTGTGGCCTGGGAAAGCAGGAGAAGATGGCCCGAGTCCTTGGGCCCCTGCATATGCTTAAGAGACCAGGAGGAGGCTCCTGGCTCCTGGCTTTGGATCAGCAAAGCTCCAGCCATTGTGTCAAACTGGGGAGTGAACCAGTGGATGGAAGACCTCTCTCTTTCTCTCTCTTTCTCTGTCTCTCCTCTCTCTAACTCTGACTTTCAAATAAATAAATAAATAAATCTTTTTAAAAAAAAAGATAATTTTGCTTCCCTGATCTTGAGAGGTTTTCGTTTGATCCTTTTTAATTGTTTATTTATTTTATTTGCTTAAAGGCAGGGGGAGAGTTGAAGAGAGATTTCCCATCCACTGATTGACTTCCCAAATGCCCACAACAGCTAGTACTGGGCCAGGCCAAAGCCAGAAGCCAGGAGCTCAATTTGGGACTCACAGGCTGTGTGGCAGGTACCTAATTATCTGAGCCATCACCTGCTTCCTCCCAGAATGTGCAATCGTGGGAAGGTGGAGTGGAGAGCAGTCCAGAACCAGAACTTAGGCATGCTGATATAGGACACAGTTGTTCCAAGCAGCAGGTTAACCACTGTGTCAAATGTTCACACCTGTTTCAGTTTCTTTAATGCATGTAATAACGACATGCTTGTATGCTTTGAAGAAGCATCAAAAAAGAGCCAGGAAAATGGCAGAAAGGGAGAGAAATAAGACTATAGTGACGTTCTTGATTTGAGTATGTCATCTGACCCACAGGTGGAAGGCCAGACCTTAGCTGAAATGGTGAACTCTATGTATTCTGCAACAGGGGTGAGAGAACATGGCAGGACAATGTTGCAGGTAGGTGAGTAAAATGGTGCCGAGAGGATGTAGATGTATTCCCCTGAATGCTGCATTTCTATAGACAAAAGAAAGCAAAAGTCATCCGCTGAGAACGAAGACAGAGCTGAAATGGATAGGAGGAGACACAAGAGCACAGGAAAACTGATGGTCTGAAAAGCACACGGAGTGATTGCTGAGCAGATTGAGGGGCTTGCTTGAGATCTGGATTCTAAGGGGTGGTGTGGACTCTGCCTATCCTCTCTTGTGATCTGCCTTCACCTGCTGCTTATCCTTTACACGGAGATCACCAGGATTTCAGAGTTCCTATCACACACATGCTCTTCCAGACAGTTCCACCTGCACTCAAATGGACCGCCTCCCTGAGCTCTCTCCTCTCCCTTCACCTCGCTACCTCTTATGTAACTTCAGACTCAGTTTATTCCTAACTTCCAGTCTTAAGTACTGGTGCCCATATGAGACTTGTGCCCTCCTCAATGCTCCCTGTCACCTGGGCACACTTTCTCCATTGCCCTTGCCACAGCCTATTGTGACTTCCATTTTACCTGCATGTATCATTGTCCATAATCCAGTTTGGGGGATGTTTATGTAACCAGATACTTCAAGCACCTGTTGCTTCCCTTCCCCCACCTTTTTCTGATTAAGTATATGTGATGTAAGCTCCAAGTATTTACATTTCTAACAAAGTCACAGGTACTGTGTCTGCTGGTGAGAAGAAGGAGCACATCTTGGCCATCTGCATTCCAGTTCTCCCAAGGTTGGTTTATGTGTGGTTTCTGACTATATCCCCAGCACTTGGTTATTGCTTTGGCTTTGGGTAGAAGCTCTTAAAACATTGACTGATCAACCAAGGCCCCATGGCTGAGTGGGAAGAAGGGAACTGAGGTACCTGAATGGTAAGCTCTCTGCCTTCTCGGTTTATCTTCAAGTGGTGCATCCTTCTGTTAGCAAAGTTTTCTACGTCAATGGTGAATACGTGGGTATCTTCCTTGCTTAGCTGATAGCGAACCTGTAAACTTCCTTGAAAGAAAAATAGTAGAAACTAATATTAAAAATAGTCCCCATAAAATACAAAAGTCTGATCAGATTGTCTTTTAATTGATTGCTACTGTATACCAAGGACCCATTCCTCAATCTTTTATCATTCACATTTTTAATATGAATTATGTAAGCTCATCAGGGTCCAAACAGAAAACTACAGCATTGCTACAAAAAGAGAGTGAGTGTGTGAATGTGTTTGTGTGTGTGTATGTGTGTGTGTGTGTGAGAGAGAGAGAGAGAGAGAGATCAGAAACCAGAATGCCACTTTGGAAAATAAGACAACCAAAAACCTGTTTTGTAATTGAGTTGCTAAAAGATTAGTAAGATAGAGGTAAGATTATCTCAACTCTCTCTTCAATTCCCCACACTTCCCATCCCTCTTTCTGCCCAATCTTCTAATTCCTCTTAGACTTATAGGATGGAGAGAACTGGCTCCCATCTTTACCCAGTGAGTCTAATGCTGCTGATTGCATTGTCTTGTGGTTAAGGCTCAGCAACCCACTTTAACCCACAGTGGCCTGGTGGGACATTCAAATTTCACTAGAAAAGTGTTTTTAGGATAGTCCTTCACTATCCATTGGAGGTCAGGAAATCAATTTACTAGGTCTCAATCAGCACTTCTTACAAAATGAAACAGAATTGAAAAGGAAATATGAGAATCCCAAGAGACATTAACCAGAAGTGTTGTGTGTGCATGTGTGTGTGTCTCTGTGAGAGAGAGAGAGAGAGAGAGAGAGAGAGAGAGAGAGAGAGATACAGAGAGACAGAGAGAATGTTAGGTCACAAAGTAGGTGCTGTACTGTGGATCATACTTTTAAAAATTGGGGAAACCTCCCCATGTTGGAGAATTGCCTTATAGTGTAGAGCCATTGATGGGGTGGTTAATCTCCCTCAGGCACTTTTCCCAGCTAAATAGGTCCTACATTCCTGGATGAAGGTGTTGAGTCCAGCAGTCCAAAGGGACACTGTGTGTCTTATTCTCCACTCATGGTGGTCACCTCTTCTGGTGTCATTGGAGTCCATACCAACCAAATGCCATGCATTCTTTCCAGGACATATGTGGGAAACATTGTTATTGAGGGAGGGTGTTGTTAACTTGTGGCCACAGGGGTAAAGAACATTCACTGAAATGCAGGGCAAGGCACTAAGCTGTCTCTCTCCCATCCTCTCAATGTTTCTCTCTTTTTTTTTTTTTTTTTTTGGACAGGTAGAATTATAGACAGAGAGAGAGAGAGAGAGAGAGAGAGAGAGAAAGGTCTTCCTTCCGTTGGTTCACTCCCCAAATGGCGCTGTGTCGATCTGAAGCCAGGAGCCAGGTGCTTCCTCCTGGTATCCCATGCGAGTGCAGGGACCCAAGTACTTGGGCCATCCTCCACTGCTATCCCTGACCACAGCAGAGAGCTGGACTGGAAGATGAGCAACCGGGACTAGAACCCAGCCTCCATAGGGGATGCCAGCGCCACAGGTGGAGGATTAACCAAGAGAGCCAGGGTGCCAGCCCCTCAATGTCTCTTATCTTTCAGAAACACCTCTCTGAAATTCCTCAGGCTGCCCTTTTTTGCTCAGCCCCCAGTGTTAGGAAGACAAGAGGTTTGGGAGTAACCAACACGTCCATCACTGCTGCTGTTGGTTCTTACCAAAAGATAATTTTTTGAGACAGTTTTAAAAATAAATTGCTACTTAGGGCATTTTGGAATACATCCATGTGAAATAAGATTGCACAATAATCTAAAGCAGAATAGGAAAAAATAATTTGATACTTATGAGGCCATTACTTGACAGTCAGTCATTAAGAGCAGCTCTCTGTAGCTCATCTTGGTTTCCTGGCTCCTTCTAACCCAATAGAGCAAATCAGTGTATGAAAATTAGGTATCAGGCATAGTGATAAATGTCTTATTCCTTAAGGGAGTTTGGGCTCTCTCATCATCTCACTGATTGGGAAATTCACACTTGTACATAATCTTTATGTATTTTTTCATGATAGACATTGCTTGCATTTATACATCTTTACTAACACCTCTCTTAGGCACCAAAAGTTGCAACAGAGGTCCTGTCCTTTGACACACTTTAAAGCTTCCTGAACATTTCAGATCATCTTAAAACACCTCCTCTGGGTCTTCTGGTACCATATAAATATTTCTCTCATCTTCTTAGAACTTTTGAGGAAATCATTGCCTCTCAATGTACCCCAACATGATATCCTGGAATCTCTCATTTCCACATGATTGCTGGGAGAAGAAAATCCAGACTTTTCGAAATAAGTTTGACACCATAACAAATGACTGTAGTCTGCCTGGAAGCATGGGTATATGATGGAAAATTGTTTGTAGTCAGGCCTGAAGGTTCCTTAACTAAATATCCCAGCACCTTTTTCAGCTGTGTGGATAGATGAGGCATCAGCTCCTCTCCAGAGGTGAGACTCAGCTGATTCTCCGCTGGCACTCAGAGCTCATCATCTGTCCCTCGGGCCTCCTCTGCTTCCCCTCCGTGCTTCATCTTTGCACTTAAACCTCCTGGCTGAGGTTCCCTGCATGCACCCCACTCTCTTCTGTAAGTTTTGCCACAATGACAACCACCACAAATGTGTAGTCCCAAAGGCAGTGAACTGTTGGAGGGAAAGTACTGTCTATAAATCTCACAAACTGAAAAAAGGACTGACTCCCCAGGCCAGGAGTGCATGATGATTTCTCTAAAGCACTGTAATGCATTTCTCATCTATTTAATCTTAACTATCCTTGCGGTTAGTATATATCAATGTTGCAACATCATAAGGGTACATATCATTTTGAATGTCTGTATAGACAGAGATAAGATGTTCACATATGGAAATTAAAAATAAATGTGGGAGCAGGGGATTAGCCTAACAGTTAAGAAGACCAAATCTGACATTTGAGTCCCTGGGTTTGGTTCTTGACTCTGGTCCTAACTCCAAGTTCCTACCCTTGAAGGTAGCAGATGATCACTCAAGTACTTTGGTTTCTGCCACCAATGTGGGAGATCCAGATTGAGTTTCCAATTCCTGTCTGTAGTCCTGGCCCAGCTCTTGATGAATAAACCAGCAGATGGAAACTCTCTCCATGTCTTTCTGTCTGTGTTATCTCTTTGTTTCTCAAGTAAAAAACAAAAAATAAGTAAATAAAACTGACTTGAGCCTCAGATAGGTCCGCTTTATCAAAATGCTTCTAGAATATACATATTTATAATAGAATGATTTTTGGTCACCAACAAGTACCCCGTAGAAGTTTTAAAGGGTCCCATTAATGTTGGAACACCCAAGTTATATTTAGCTGCTTTTAAAAACTTGTCTTCAGGCAAAATCTGTGTCATTACTTTTAGAACTAAGCAAGTACTACCAGTACACTTAAAACTGGAAAAATCCACATAGTAAACAAAGTATTTAAACATAAGAATAAGGACCCCCTTCACAGAGGAGAAGTCAAGATCCCTAGAATGGGACTCCTTGCTTTCTGAAGAGTTTCATCCCTTTCATCAACACACATTTCACCATGACTGAGTTGCTACTCATCTCTGTACTTTCACCCGGAATTCTTTCTTCTTCTAATTTTCTCCATTTTATAGAAGAGAAAACAGAGCTACTTGGAGGTGAGTAGCATGACATTGCTCTTTGTCAGTAAAGTGACAGTGCCGTATTTAGAAACTAAATCTACCTGGTTCAGAAAAGCATGGGTTTCCCATAGAACACAATGGCCCCTAGTGACCATCTCTGTGCAGCAGGCTGTTCCATGATAACCTGACTTCTTAACTTTGCTCCCATCCATCCTTCGGAACTCAGTGTAAGTTCTCCTCTTCCAGGAAGCCATTCCAGGCTTCTCCAAGGTGGCCCTCCTTTGCTCCTACAGATCATGCCATTACCTTTATCCTAACACACACCACATTGTAGTGTCTGTCCTCTACACTGATCTGTGAACTGCAGCCTGCACTGTATATACTCAGTAATTCATGTGGTCAGAGTGTCCGTTTACCCCTAATGGTGATATCACCTTTCCTTCCACTATACCATCCTTGACCTCTGAGTTTTAATATCACAATGGTGTGGAGGGTAATGCATTCTGTACAAACCAAACCTTTCATTTGGAACTCTGAACTTTCTAGGTTCCTGTCGTGATTCTGTGCAGCAGCAATGAGCTGCAGTTCCCAGTCAGGGCCAAGATTACGATGGGAAACTGTGCACACTCTGTAGTGTGTCACATTGTTGAGCCAAAGTGTTTGGTAGGTGAGGTATGTTAAATGCATTTGTGATGCAGGATCTGTTCATTGGAACATTGCCTTGTTTTAAGTTGAGAAGCATCCTTACTAATATTGCACTTATTTTAATATCAGCCTCAATTTATCCTGACTCTTTTATCTTTCTCCTCCTCTTGAATTTAAGCTCCCCTAGGAAGAAACATTGCTTATTAATCTTTTTGTCTGCAGACACTCGCTCATGGCCTGCTATCGGAAGTCTCCAGAAGACATTTGTTGAATAAAATAGCCACTCTGGAGAATGTTATCACCACTTCACCAAAATTATAAACTAACATTTATTCAAGGCTTACTGTGTGTAAGACTCTAGAGAAAAAATAGCAACAATTTATCAGTTCTTTATTTGAGGAGTTTATAATCTGGTTGAAGGAGACAAAAACACCTTTCATGCTTCTTGCTATGATGTGCCTAATATTTTTAGATATTTAATATAGTCTTAAATATATTTTTCAATCAAATCCTTAGGTTACAGAGTAGCATTTTATGCAGTGATTGAGACAACTCATCTAATTTCAGAGTAACTGGGTTTGATTCCTGGCTCCAGTTAATGATGCCAAGTTTCTGTTAATGAACCCTCTGGGAGGAGGCGGTGATGCCTCACATGCTTAAGTCCCTGTTACCCACCTCAGAGAACCAAGCTGGGTTTCTAACTTTGGTCACCAACAAGTACCCCATAGAAGTTTTAAAGGGTCCCATTAATGTTGGAACACCCAAGT